AAAATTCTTCCCAAATTCTCTGAGCGCCGTTTATTTGTAGAAATCCTGTTTTTTCACCCAATTTTTGGGGCGTTTTCCGGCAGGGATGTGACGTCAGGGTTGTGCCAAGAGCCCACGGGACTAATTTTGGCCAAAAATCCCAATTTTTAGGGCAAAAAAAATCCCCTAAAAAACCCCAAATTGAGAGTTTTTTCCCGAAAAAGCGATTTTTTTTTTATTTCCCTGGAAATTTGCACAAACACGCAACGCACCTTTGAACGACGCGCGTGTGCAACGACACGCGTGCGACGCGCGTCCGCCACACACGCGTGCGACAACACGCCACGTGCGATGAGCGTGCACACGCGCACACAACGCGCAGCACACGCGCGTGCAACGCAACGCGCGTGCGACACAACCCGCTCAATGAGTGCGCGCAAGGCCCGGCGCGCGTGCAACACGACGCAACGCGCAACACGGACGGGGTGCGTACGCGTGCACAACACACAACGGGTGTGCGACGCGACACGGCGGCCAACGCAACACGCGGCGGGTGTGCACGCGTGAACAACACACAACAGGCAACACAACGCTCCCCAGTCACGAACACGCGTGCGCAACACGCGTGCACAACACGCGTGTGCCACACAACGCGTGTACAACACAACCCAGCAGTCACTGGGTGTGGACACGTGCACAACACACACGTGCACATCGCACAACACGTGTGCGACGCAACAGTCAACGCAACACGCAGCGGGTGTGCACACACGTACACAACGCACGCGCGCAACACACCGCTCAACACACGTGAGGTGTGCACACGTGCACAACGCACGTGTGAAACACAACCCAGCAGTCACTGGGTGTGAACACGTGCACAACACACGCGCGCATCACACAATGCGTGTGCAAGACGTGTGTGCGACAACACGCAACACACGTGTGCAGCACAACCTGCTCAACACACAGGAGGTGCGCACACACGTGCACAACACGTGTGCAACACAACACGTCACTGGGTGTGAAACACGTGCACAACACACACTTGCACCTCTCACAACACGTGTGCAAACAGCACGCGACACGCTGTAGGCGCGTACACGCGTGCACAACACACAACACGGGGGCGACACAACAGCCAGCGGAGCCTAGAACACATGTACACAACACACAGCACACAACACACACCAGGTGTATGCCCGCGCACAACACACGGCACGTGGGCAACACAACACACGTGCGCTACGGACCGCAACACGCAACACGCACTGGATGTGTGTAACACACGCGCACACAACACACACCGCCGTGTGTGCACAACACACACTGCGCACACGCACAACGCGTGGGCAACACAACACGCAACGCACCGCCCCCACACACGCAACACGCGTGATGTGTAAAACTGTCACACGCACGACACGCTCTGACGCACACACGTACACAACACACAACACGCACGGCACCGCACCCACAACGGCCGCCATCAGCACGTGCAGGACACAAGACACACAACCCCCAGCCACACCCAAACACAGCACACACAACACACACAACGCACACACACACACCCCCCACACCCCACAGACACACACACCACATACACACAACACACACAAACACACACACAACACACACACAACACACACGAGACTCACAACACACACACACCACACACACACAACATACGCAGACACACAACACACACACGAGACACACAACACACACACACACCCAACACACCCAACACACACACACACAACACCCTACACACACAACACACACACCCCACACACCCCACACAACACACACGCAACACACACACACACACAGAGACACACACACACAGACAGACACACAATACACACACCACACTCAACACACACACCGGACACGCAACACACCATACACACACACCACATACACACCACACACAACAAGGTCACACCATAGACACAACACACACACCCACACACACAGACACACACCACACACACACACACACCACACACACCACACACACACCACAGACACAACACACACACCAGACACACGCAACACACACACAACACACACACCAGACACACACAACACACACACAACACACAACACACACAACCACCCCCAAATCTTTGTACCCGCACCACACTCTGCCACAACACACACACACACACAAAACACATAACACACACAACACACACAACACTTTGTACCAACAACACGCTCTAACACCACACACACAACACTCTCTGACACAACACACACAACACACAACTTGGCACAAACACCCCCAGAAATTTGTACCCGCAACACGCTCTGACACAACACACACGTACACACACACACACCCCACACAACACACACAACTTGGCACAAACCCCCCCAAAACTTTGTACCCGCAACACACACCCACACAACACACCCACGCAAAACATAACACACACAACACACAACACACACAACTTGGCACAAACACCCCCAAAACTTTGTACCCACAACACACTCTGACACAACACACACACATAACACACACAACACACAACTTAGCACAACCACCCCAAAAAAATTGTACCCGCAAGACGCTCTGACACCACACACACACACACACACAAAACACATAACACACCCAACACACACAACTTGGCACAACCACCCCCAAAACTTTGTACCCGCAACACACTCCAACACCAC